CACACACACACACACACACACACACACACACACACACACCCACCTTGAGCTGCAATAAACTTATTCTTCTCTTGGTAACCCTGCAAACAACAAGAGGGCAAAGAGAGATGGTTGATTTGATATAAGAGTGCATCGTGTTTACAGCAGAATTGTTTGTTCAGTGGAAAAGGTGCTGCACTCGTACTCACATTTATAAAGGAGGCGTTGATGAAGTCAGAGTCGGGGACGCCCTCCAGAGATGAGAGATGCACCCTCGAGTGATCATCTGAGAGAGAGAGAGAGGGAGGCAGAGAGAGAGAGAGGCAGAGAGAGAGAGAGAGCAGGAGGCATTGAGAGAAAATATGAGGAAGTGCAGCAGCACATTAAGAGAGGGAAATGTCATTTCACATGGTATATTATAAAACTCACTACTTGCTTTGTCAAATATCTGATGTTTACTGTGATATTACTGTAAAAACTTGAATTAGCAGCATAAATATATCAGAAACCCTCATTTCTGGATTGTTAATGTCCATTTGTGTCAATGTGTCGCATTTGTGTTGTTGCTCACATGGCAGGATGTTAACATATCTGTTCTTTTCTTTATTCTCTTCCTTGGAAGCAGCGTCACATGATGCCTGTATGGGGCAGACTGGCAGTGCCTAAACACAGAAAAAAATTAATTAAGATATCTGGGAGGAGAGCAGACACATGCATATCAGTCAAATCTCTAAGTGACCCGACACTTCAGTCTCTGTTGGCTTCATCTTTTGGTCTGCTGTCAATCTAAATGGGGGGCTGTGGCTCAGGAAGCAGACTGGGCCATCGGCTATCCAAGAGTCGGTGGTTCGATCGCTTGCTTTTCCAGTGTCTGAGTGACTTGTGACTTGTACTGCACTACTTACATTGTATTTAACATGTCATGTAATACAAATCACCCCAAATGTATTTAGTGCTGTAGCAAAACTTAACACACAAATGTGTCTCAATAGTGTCTTAGAGGCTCCTTAATTTTGTTAATGTTTTGATGGGAAGGTTTGTGTCTCGATTCAGTTTCATTCTGAATTACGTCACACTTTTTAGCAAAACAGCCAAATTAGTAAGAATGTGTCAAACCAGCTAGTGTATGAACAGTTGCACTATATCACTGGTCTAATTCTTACCTGTTTTTCTTGATGTCAACTGGCTGTTTTAACTATTCATTCATCTATTTATATATATTTTCTATCATTACTTTATAAGTATTTGGATCATTTATCCTTTAGCTTTTGCAAAACATTTAAACTTTTTACACATTACTGTTTATTATTCATCCATTCACTTAACTAACTAATCATTTCAACAGTTTATTCATTACTTTAGACAACTGTGTACTTCCTATATACTTTTTGTGAACTACTTTTAAGCATTATACCTGTTTATACATACATTTTGGCACATTATTTTAAATCCTCTGTTTGCTAGCCATTTATCTTTTAGTTGTTTCATCTTCCCCTCATCACAAATATGTGGATTTGTTCATTAAATCATAATATAATCTGACATCAGATAACCTTATAATATTTTTATATATTATATATATAAAAATATGACATAGAGGTGCCTCTGATGTACAGAAGCACTTCTCTAGGGTGAAGGTGAATCTCCGGCTACAGTACATTATCAGAGGTTGTGTGCTTGAGTGCGTACATTAAACTCCTCCCTGAAGAGTTTGTTGTCATCAGCCATGCGACGGTTCATTTCTTCCTCTAGCTTGTCAACAGGAAGCGGCGGGTACTTCCTGTTGGTGCTGGGCGAACGGGCCAATAGCGGGACAGTCTGGAGCTCTGTGCCGGCAAGCAGGAAGGGAGGAGTGAGGAGAGGAGGGAAGGAACAGGAGGAGTGAGACAGGTGGAGATAAAGACACAGGAGATGAGGTAAGAACATGAGAACTGGAAGCATCTCTCATTGAGTAACACAGACTTCATCTTTCACTGTCTTTCCTAAAGATGCCCACCAGAGGGCGATGTGAGTCAACGTTGTAACATGAGGAAGCAAACTGCTGCTTTGTTGGTTAGGTAATCACAGTGAACAAAAGCTTCCTGCCAACAGTCAACCAGTGAAATGTTATCGGTAAGGAAAGCAAGATCAATCAAGTCTTATCAGAAAATAAACCAGAGCAACACGTTTGCACAGGCTGGAGGTTTATACCAGCTGATCCAACCCGCTACAAATAAATGATAAGTTCTGTGTGGACGCAGCACATCTGCTGATGAATACAAAGCATACAATCAAACACACAAACAATAAACCACATTTGACTCGCTTACCTGTATCATCCGATCTACCATTCGTCAGTCTGAAGGAATTTGAATGGCTCCCCGCCTGCTTGTACTTCTTAAACCTGTCAATCAAGATCAAAGTGCATATTAATACACAGAGATTCTCTCTCACTCTCACTCACACACACACACACACACACACACACAC